GCTCTTGCTGGACGCTTCGCTCGGCGTGTCCATTCCCCTCTACCGGGTTAACATTGTCTCGGTCAAAACAGCTCAAAGTACCTAGCCGGCCTCGCCTTGCTGTTCTGTTTCCTTCGGAGGTGTACAGGAAACACGTGTAACAATCGAGAAGTTGTCGCCAGAATGGCCGCCATAGCAGAGCAATCCTCCAATTCCTTGCTGGCAGGCCCTGGCGCAGGGCTTCCGAATGACGGTACTGGTACGTGTCAACCCCTTTTTGGCGCAATGTCAATGTGGCTGGACTGACACCGCTGATGTAGGCGTCATAAAGCTTGATCCTTACCTATCACCCTTCCAAGATGCGCTGAAGAGGAGGTCTGCAAAAGCTCAAGAATGGATCAGGAAACTCGCCGAACTTGAAGGGGGAGTTGAGAAGTTCTCAAGGGTTAGCTCCTTAGTAGCTCCCTGCTCTCAGAGTATTCATTGACCACCTCGCAACTAGGGGGCTGACATATTCGGTCTCAATGTGGACAAGGACAACAACATCATCTACCGAGAATGGGCGCCAAACGCTGTAGCCGCCTCGCTCGTTGGAGATTTCAGTCAGCATCTACAAATATATGAGCAGACAAGGCACTGAGCTGACCAAAAGGTTAGATAACTGGGATCCCAGGGCCCATCCGATGAAGAAGAACGGGTTCGGCGTTTGGGAGATCACCGTAGCCGCGGTCGACGGGCAGCCTGCCATTCCTCATAAGTCAAAAATCAAGGTAACCCTTGTGCCAGCTTGCCAGATCCTAGGCTAGTTCAATACTAATCCAGAGCACACAGATTTCCATGGAGACTAAGGCGGGTGCTCGAATCGATCGACTACCTGCGTGGATCAAATACGTTACTCAAGATCTCACAGTATCGCCCGCCTACGATGCCCGTTTCTGGAATCCCCCCGCAGCCGAAAAGTATATCTTCAAACACCCAAGGCCCAAGAAACCCCTGAGTGCTCGCGTATATGAAGCCCATGTTGGCATTTCGTCCCCTGAGTTGCGAGTCACGACGTTTAAGGAATTCACTCAGGGCATGCTACCAAGGATAAAGAACCTGGGTTACAATGTAATCCAGCTTATGGCTATCATGGAACACGCATACTACGCCAGTTTCGGGTATCAAGTGAATAATTTCTTCGCCGCCAGCAGTCGTTATGGCACGCCAGAGGATCTCAAGGAGCTCATCGATACCGCACACAGTCTGGGGCTCGTTGTCTTGCTAGACGTCGTACATAGCCACGCCTCCAAAAATGTCCTCGACGGACTAAATGAATTCGACGGCACGGATAATCTATACTTCCACGAGGGCGGAAGAGGTCGGCATGATCAATGGGATAGCAGATTGTTCAACTATGGGAGCTATGAAGTCATAAGATTTCTCCTCAGTAATCTGAGGTTCTGGATGGACGAGTACCAATTCGATGGCTTCCGTTTTGATGGAGTAACGAGTATGCTCTATCATCATCACGGTATTGGGACGTAAGTGAAAAGTATTGCCTGTCTGGAAAGCAGAAGACTGACATTCATAGGGGCTTCTCCGGTGGTTACCATGAGTACTTTGGTGCCGAAGTCGATGAAGAAGCGGTAGTCTACTTGATGGTGGCTAACGAAATGCTCCACGACCTATACCCCGAGTGTATTACTATAGCAGAAGATGTGTCTGGTATGCCGGCTCTCTGCTTACCCTTGTCGCTTGGAGGGGTTGGTTTCGACTACAGACTAGCAATGGCTATCCCCGATTTGTGGATAAAGATCTTGAAAGAAAAGAAGGATGAAGAGTGGGACATGGCGAACATCTGCTGGACCCTCACCAACAGGCGACATGGAGAGAAGACGATCGCCTACTGTGAAAGTCATGATCAAGCGTGAGTTATCACTCAGTACTTGGAAATTCCGAGCTAACATCTTCAGACTTGTCGGAGACAAGACATTGCTCATGCATCTCTGCGATGCAGAACTATATACTAACATGTCGGTCCTATCACCGATGACGCCTGTCATCTCACGCGGCATGGCACTGCACAAGATGATCCGACTTCTCACGCAAGGCTTGGGTGGCGAAGGCTATCTGAACTTCGAGGGCAATGAATTTGGTCATCCGGAGTGGCTCGACTTCCCGCGCGAGGGGAATCAAAACTCCTTCTGGTACGCACGACGTCAGCTGAATCTTACAGATGACAATCTCCTACGGTACAAAGACCTCAACGAGTTTGACCGCCAGATGAACCTGACAGAGAATCATTATGGGTGGCTGCACGCCCCGGAGGCATACGTCAGCCTCAAGAACGAGAGCGACAAGGTCATCGTGTTCGAGCGCGGCGGCTGCGTCTTCATCTTCAACTTCCACCCCTCGCAGAGCTTTTCAGATTACCGCATCGGGGTCGAGACAGCCGGCGCCTACAAGATCGTGCTCGATACCGATACCAAAGAAGTCGGTGGGTTTGGACGCGTCGAGCCCTCTACCAGGTTCTTCACCACGCCTATGGAATGGAATGGCAGGAAGAATTGGACGCACGTCTACATCCCCTCGCGGTCTGCTTTGGTGAGCTCATCCAAACACGTCACAGTTACAGTAGAGGGTGTCGGCGAAGCTAACTATCGAATAGGTCCTGGCTCTCGAGTCTCCTATCTCGCAGCATTCTTAATGTCTAGGAAGAAAAAGGTCATACGCAAGAAGTGGGTGGGTTGCTACGCCAAAAAATTAGTTGCTGTTTCTTTTTACTTATTTGTGTTCTTTCGGTTCGGTTGAAGGGGGTGCTGAGCGAGCTGGATAATGTACAGCAGTAATAATGTCGTCGTCAGGATTACGTGTGGAATAAATAGGCCTTCGCAAGACCTCAACAATTCCGAAACCCTTCGTGATATCTTTGCATCGGGTACATGAATGCTACTCAATCTGAATACCTTGTGACGTGCATACAGTACCAGCAGACCAAGATCTGATATTACACCACTCATCAGTCCACCCACCCCTTATTCAACAAGCCACTCCTCGACCTCAACCCCCATACTCCGCCCTACACCCCGAATCATCTCCCACCCAACATTGACCCTCCACTTCCCCCCGCGATCCAAATCGGCTCCGCCCCCAGCACCGACCGCAGCCCCCCCAGCGCCCCCTCCAACCCGCACCAGCAGCCTCAAACTCGCCAGCGTCGCAATCGCCATGCCGACGTCGCCATCCACGCCCCCTTTCGCTTCATCGGCCCCGCTAACCCACTCCTGTCTCGTAGCAACGTAGATGGCAACCATGCGCTCGAGCACGAAGACGCCGGGACCCAGCAACTTCCGCGCGACGCGGCGATGCGTGGCCCTGCGTCCGCGTCCGGGCGTCGAGGGTCCCGCGCCGCCGACACCGCCGCCGCGCCGCCGCTTCTTGCCCCCCGGATGCCACGTGCTGAACAGCGCGACGTCGTGGCGCGGGGCGTTATGCGAGGCGAGGTAGGCGGCGACGAGGAGGAGGCGGGCCGTGGGCGGGAGCAGGGCCTCGAGGTCCGTGCCGCGCCTCGTCGTCGTCATCGTCGTCTTGTTGTTCTCGGCGGGTGCGCGCGGCGGGCGCTGGATCCCGGGCTGCAGCACGCTCTCGTCCTGGAAGTAGGCGCGGGCGGCGATCAGCAGCCTGCTGAACTCGCGGGCCTTGTGGGTGCCGGCGCCGACGGGGGCCGTGAAGCGCGGCCAGAGCGACGCGCAGGCTCGGGCCAGGCGCGGCAGGGTGCGGGCGGCCGGGCGCGCGAGGGCGTCGTGGACGGCGGCGGCGAAGCGCGCCCAGAGGTCGGCCGTCTCCTGCTGCGTCGTGTTGGGGAGGGCCGCCGGCGGCGCGCGCGAGAGGATCGCGACGTGCTGCGCTTTCGTGTATGGCGGGAAGTGGACGTGCGGCGGGGCGGAGATGAGCAGGAGGGAGGGCGACGGCGTTGTCACGACGAAGACGGTGGTTAGGTTTGGGATCTATGGGGCGTGAGAGAGAGAGAGCTGGGTCAGCGGGGGCTCTGCGTGTTCGTGTTCTTCTGGTCTTTCGGGACTTGGGCACGGGGGGCGAAGGAAGACGGACGCAGTTGTCGGACGTACGATTTCAGATAGCCTCGCCAGGGCAGGGAGGAGCGTGGGCGGCGCATCGCGCTGGCGATCGATGCCGTCGAACACCAGCACGAATCGGGAGCGGGCGTCGCGCTCGACGTATTTCAGCGTCGCCGTCAGCTCGGCGGTCAGCGCGGCGACCGTCTCGCAGCGCGCGGGGGGGCACTGGTTGTGCAGCGCGTCTCGCACGAGGCCGGCGGTTCTCTCGAATAGATGGCGCGCCGTGACGCACTCTGCGGACCTGACGATGGCGTAGTTCAACTCGGACGGCGAGTCGGTGCGGAGCGTTTGCAGGAGCTCGCCGATGATGGCGCTTTTGCCCGTTGCCTCGGCGCCGTGCACGACGACATTGGGACATGGTGCTATTCGCGGGTGGATGAGAGTTGCCAGGGCATTGATCTGGGCGTCGCGGCAGGGGAAGCTCGTGATGAGCGACGCGAGGAGGTCATCGGGCAGTCCGAAAAGGGAGGTCATGTTGAGCTTCTGCGTCGTATGCTGGTGAAGCGATAGGTCGGTAATTCTCGGCCAGGGAGGGCGAATATTGTAAAGCCGGTTCAATTGGCGTCCACGAACCTGCTGGTACCTGGATATGTAGGTGTCATACAAGAGGTGACTGTAGTGCAGACGGGACCGGGTGTGAGCCGCCGGAGTTTGCCATGCAGTTCGGGAATGAAAGTTAGCATAGGTATTCCCCACCTCGCGTGTTTGACACGCGCCGGCTCTTTGCCAAGCTTCGGCATCATTGGCAGAAGGGGAACGTCATATTCTAAGGGCTAAAAGTGAGATGTGTATGGACCTAATCGAGCTAAATGGATATCTCTATAGTTAAATTGGTTAAATATTAAAACATTATTAATAAATTCTTTTTTTAAATATAAAAAAATAAAAATAAGTTTAAAAAATGTCCAGAGCCAGGGATCGAACCTGGGACTCCTCCGTCCCCGTAGGGATTAAGCCCTCAATGACGAAGAGCTTAACTGTCATCTCGGCGTGTTTCTACTACACCACTCTGGGTTTTTTCTAGTATCTGGAAATTGGCTTATTCAAAATGTTGAAGCCTTCTCTCTCTTACCTCTAGTAGGTACTAGACACTACGCGGTCTGGTCAAGCTTCAACTAACCAAGATCGCATCACCATTCCAACGGCCTCCACCACCACCGTCTGGGACGCAATTCACGAGATCCTGCTTCTTTACTACCGCACAAAATGGATCACACCCGGGATCCTTGTCCCTGGGTCATCCTCACCGACTTTGGTGGCGCCTTCGCGATGGGTGTAAGCACCGACTGTCCTCGTTATTTACATGCGCTAACTCTTCTCCCAGGGGGTGGGTGGTGCTGTATGGCACGGCGTCAAGGGATTCCGCAACAGCCCCTACAGCGAGTGACGAATCAGTGCTGTCACAGCAATCAAGCTACAAGCCCCCAGCCCTCAGTGGCAATTTCGGGGCGTGGGGAGGTCTCTTCAGTATGTCGGACTGCGCCACAGCCGTGGTCAGGAAGATCTTCGTCTGTGTTTCCATAGCCTGGTTAGAAAAAATCATTACTTGTGCCATTCAAAAGATTCTCTTCAGCCTTATTAAGTTTCTACTTAGGCGTTCAGCAACTAAATCTCAATCATTAGAAAATAAGAAACTCTCACCTCAGCAGCTATATCTTCCAGCAACAAAGTGTGAGATCGCAACAATCCTTCGACGTCATTAATAAATATCTAAAAGAACTTCCATCTTTACGCAATTATTGCAGCAGAAACAGCAGCCTTCCACTTACCCGCCTCAGTATCACTTTCGTTAATATGTCAACAATCAGGGTTCTTACGGCCACCTCTTAACCACCATCCTTTATAAAGTTCCTTCTTATATCGTAACAGATATCGTCTAAGCACATCCGCAGTAACTCCACTGCACCAGTCTAGATTGGTAGACCTTATAGGCTTATAGCAGATTACACGAATCAGAATAAAACAGCAGTAGATTTTAGATATAAACCGCTTATGCTCCCTTGCTTTATACTTAGTCATCTATGCATCTCAACATTCATTGCAATCTCTAAAAAGTCTTTCTAAATTAGCTAGATCTATAAAACAATTCTTATTGCACAGTTTGCTGCATTAGTAACATTCTTTTGTTGTTGCAGTCTCTGTACCTAGCTATCATCCTTTAACGCTTAGCAAACCAATACTTATGTGTGTGCGGCCACGCCACGTGCCCTGGGGCACAGGCCACCTAAGGAGGTGGTCTCTTCGAGCCCCCTATTAAAAGCTATTAACTACAACCAATAAAAATTTAGAAAAAAAAATTGGTTGCTTCTCTTTGTTCACATGTGTCATCCTTAGTGCAGGGGCCATGCTAATCTTCTCTGTATCGTTTCTGCCACAAATTAGCGTATGCCAAGTAGTCAAGTAGTGGGAGCGTCTTACCAAATTGACCAAATGCCCGAAGGCGAAACCATAGGTGCATATTTTGAATTATAATGTACTCTGCACCGATGTTTTGCCGAAAAAGGTAAGTCTGTGCGCCCACCTTCCGACCTTCCGATGGCCCACTAGGTAGCCATACACGAATATTCCACGCATACTTTCTGACAAATATGAAAACGCAACAGTATGTCTCAAACCATGATCTAGGTATTACGCTCGGCGTCCACGCCGTGAGGTTGACCTCACAACCTCAACTGAAAGCGGGTCATTATTGTGCAATCAATCAGGCGTCAAATCCTCGGCATGTCTTCACTCCAACCGGAGAAGGCAATTAATCGGATTTGTTACGCCTGACACCATCTCCGCAAGTCAACTTTTACAGCAGCTGCAATATAAAGCTGAGTCTTCCCTGCGTCCAGATTTTGTTATCGCAGGCGATAGACTCTCCGATACCAAGACTTTGGAGCGAATAGCAGATAAAGAGTTAGGGCAGTTGTACATACCCAATGCGGCAGGGGCATTCACATGTCCTTATTGCGACAAATCATACGTAACCACGCCAGGAGCTGCAATGCATTTTCAGCAACACGCCGGCTCGTTCTTCCTCAGCCCCTTCCCTAAATGTCGAGCAAATGTGGGCGAGTTTCGTATGGGAAAGTCCGACTTCCATATTCACATGAGAAACCACAAGGAGAGCACCTCAGCCACCTTACGGCGCCATCTCGACTTAACGCTGAAGAATATTGGCGGCGGACGCCCCAGGAAACAGCACGATTCGTCACGCAATTGTTGGCCCAACACCCCGATGTCCAGTTTGATCAAGATAGTACACCCCGGATTCGCGAAATAGAGGATTCTAGCCCAGGGACCAACGAATGGTATCTGGAATTAAAACAACAAGCTACTGCTCAAGCTGAAAGTGGAAACATAAGGACAACAAATATTTCAGTAGAGACGCAAACTCGAGTATTATTATGTAGAAGCGAAGTCAACTAAAGGAAACCCTTTTATGGACTTTGGCATTCAATGTATTGAGTGCGCTAAGGAATATGCATTATACGGACTATTTCGATCCTATGGAGTTCTAGCGGATGATAATGACAATACGACGACCTGTAACCGTGAAGGGTGTTCTTTTACCCGGTTATATCGCGCATGCTTCTGTTTAGTTCATGTTATATTTCCGACGGTAGCACCTCAAGTTAGGTTTTTTCGAACAGGCTAACAACAACCTCATTTCACAACAACTCCAAGCAACCAAGGGTTTGGAACTAGACCAGTTCTCGAAATTTGATCTTTTCCTAAATAGGCGGCGCCTTACCGATCCACCTAGGTTCTTCGTTATAGACCTCGAAGGATATCTTAACAGAAAACCTCCTATTGAGGCTGCTACTATTGAGATCGGTTTAACAGACAGTAACGACGGACAGATTATGTTTAATGTCAACACTAGCAACGACTCTCTAGGTGTTAATTACGAGGAGGGTTTTCTAAAAGCCGGTGCTGAAGCTGGAGATTTTGGCCTAAACCTTCTCAAAAATAGGAACGAACCACTCTTACTAGTATTACAACAAGGAAAACCTGTCGGGAGATTGTGTTGATCCTTTACAAGCGGCAATAATTATCCGAAATAGTGGTATTATATGCTATGACGATATCTTAGTGGGGCATAGAAATGCTGCTGAAGTTAATGTTTTTGGAACACCTGCTCTTACAAGCCGGTATTCAAGGAGTTATACCTCCAAATAATCATGTCATTCGGCTTCCTTCTCTTTTCCGGCACAACCTTAACTTGCCTAAGGGAGTATCATGCGGATTAGAATCTCTATTTAAAACCATATTCCCAACGTATCCACTGCGATATAACCACCATGATGCCCTGGTTAACAGCAAGAAAACTGTCATAATGGCCTCATATGCCGAAAAACTTCTCAACAGCGAAAACACGGTCTAGGATATAGGATTATGCTTTACCCCTCTTTGTTAGAACGGCGGAGCAGCACGTCTATAATGGTTATAACTACACGTTTTGCAATCCTACCAGTGTAGGTACAGCTTTGAATGTAGCGACACGAAACCGCATTCAGTTTACAGTACTTGGTATACTCTATACATAGCTCGCCATTCCAATGTGATCAGATTCTGCACTTTTTACAATAGAGTAAACAATAGATTAAACAGTAATTAGATTTCAACTGCAACAACAGCATCTCTGAGTATAGATAACCTTCGTTAAAAACGAAGGCTTTTTTTTTTTTTACTTAGCAGAAGAGCTCCTATGTTCCGTAACAAACCCGAAAGCTTTGAAAGCTTCTAAATTACCGGTATGTACTATAACAAGTCGATTTGCTTACCGCCCTTTTAAACCCAAACATTCGGTTGCAGATTATTTCTAGCCACACTTAATAACCAGACTTGTCAAAGTTTGATAGTCTATTACTTATATACATTGCTATCCACAGGCGCTCATGATCAAGGTCATCCAGAGCGAAGCCTCAATCATTCCTCAACGTGTCAGTAGGGAACAGAGTGGCAAAAGTCTTGAGGTAATTCTGCCTCTTTAGCGGGTATTGCTCATCACGTTTCAAGAGTTGTTGGTCGACGATTATTGTTAAGAGAGAGCGACCATTCGGCGTAATGATGTCACTGTCACACAAATTATTAAGGGAGTATTAGCCGAGACATCTAGCTGATGGAAACCTATGAAAACTTAGCAGTATTATTTTGACTTCCTTACCTCAACGATGTGTGTTGGAATTTCAGATATTGGTGTACAAGTAGTGAGGTACAAGTTTGGAGGCAACAGTAGGGCTAACGAAACACCATACTTAATAAATCTTCGCTACTTATAGCCCAATACTATGCCAAGTTGAATTTTGTTGATATGAACAATACCTAGGTATTATGAGACTGTCAAAGGAGAATGCGGGTCGGCAAGGAAGGCCGTGTAGCTAACAAATGAGTTTTCCCAGGTGGGTAGAGTTATCGGGCTCGAAAATTGCCTGGATAATACACCCAATAGCTCCAATAGCTGTATCGCAATACTTGGCTTGGAGATTCATCTTTACTAGGTTTATAACCCGTGTGTGGTGTTTTATTGGTTTGTGACTTCCCTGACGGTTGATTTCTTGTTTTCACCGGTTGCTCGTAAGAGATGATACCAGCCTGAATCTTTTGAATCAGACAAGCTCAATGCTACACTATTAAGTTTTCTCAATCACTTGACTGATCCGTGAAGATCGGGTGAGCCGAGCCTGAGCAAAAGCGGCGACTGCACCAAGCCCAATTGGTTGCGCGCTACAATGAAGGTAGTAGTGGGGGTTCCCTGCCAAGCAAGTAGGTTGTGTACTTAGTAAGCGTTGCGCAAGTACCTAGATAGTAGTAGGTACCTATGCGAAGGCTACAAGTAGGTAGCCGAAATGGAATTTCTCTACAATCAACTTCCTTGGATTGCCACCGCAAAATAAAATTTATGAGACAAAGAATCTAATAAATACTAGGCTTTCTAGTTGTAGCAGTCTGTTCGAAGCAGTACTGATACAATAATTTTGAAATTATTGCGGGCTAGAAATCGTTAACGCTGTTAGGTAATTGTA